ACAGAAAGATGGGCTGTCTGGTAGCGTACGGCACTATGATGCACTTATTAGATGCGTATTTTTTCTTGCTTTTTCACAACGCAAACACTAATTTACCTTTCAATGCTCTTTCACTCATCCTTCCACGAAACATATGAAAATGAATTTAGCATTTTAAATTAATGAATATGCAATAATAGTAAATTAAATGGGAGCCTTGGCGCAACGATAAAATTATTTTTATGTGATTTATAGGCCACGAAAAATCAATATTTGCTGCTTACATCACATCCCTTGTGGTATAACTCTATCCGGACTATGCGTGAACATAAGATACTTAGTACACGTTTTTTTTGTTGCAAAATTGATAAATTCATCATTAATTATTTCTGAATAACGTTAACCGCACACGACATAAAATTTTATAATAGTATCTAAAAGGGAGATATTTACATAAGAATAAAGCTTTGGAATCGATATGAGTTAAAAGAGTAAAGTTTGGAATCAAATATGAGATAAGAAATTTAGTGTTTCACGAAGACTTAATTGTCAATCATAATCTTTACGGATAAATTAGATTAAAGGGTATTTTGTATTTATGCCGGAGAAGGACGGTACTCCTCTAGATATATTCATGCAAGTATTAGTGATTGCTTCTACGGTTCGAACTCATGACCTATAGGTTTCACAAAAATAATTTTACCGTTACTATAAGACTCTCCCTTTAAAATATAAAATAAAATAAAATGCATTAAGAGAAATTAGACTTCTATTTTATCAAAAAATGGATGTGTATACGATTTTGAGCGTAGCAATAATTTAAATAACAAAAAAATTAACATAGTATTACATCCGCCGATCATAGTTGAAATTAGAAGAATTCTTATGTAATATTCTCATAAGCTATTTTTATAAAGTTTATTAGAAAAAAACAAAAAATATTGTGCATGAAATCGAACAGTTACAATATAACTACATATAGTAGTAGAAATTTAAAACAGTAAATGCAACCACATCAGTCCATTCTCTAATCACCAAGGGAATATAGACAATAAATATACAGTCTTTACACAATCTCAAACAGAAACAAAATACAGTTCCCTATTCCTCGTTTACCCTTCTACTTCATCTCATTCTCTCTGTATATATATATACTTATCAAACAAAAAATATATATAATGCAGGTCCTATTTTATCTAGCTAGTGTTTTGTTCTTGAAAAATGGTGAGTGTGGCCTATAGATTATAGCAGAAGATGAAATACATTGACTTCACGCCAATCAAGAAAATGCTGGGATCCAACTGAACCATTTTTTGCAGGGGTTGTGTTCTGTTTTTGTCTTTTTTGGCCTATTGGGTTGCTGTTTTTGCATTCAATTTTTTTGTTTTTTGGATTGAATTTCAACTCTCCCAATTAGTTTCCCGCTCTGTTCTGCATCTGCTGCAAATGCAATGAATTCATTCTTCTGAAGGCCTCATTCTCTCTGTTTTCTCTTTTATTGCGACCTTCATTTAATTCTTTTTTCTGGGGAGTGAAGAAAAATACAATAAAAAGATGAATGCCAGAGTCAGGACTAGTCTACAGTCTTTGAAAACTCCATCCAAAAATGTAAAGGTAAGAGCTTTTCTGCTAATGAAGTCTCTTCTAATTGTATATTTTGGAGTGGAAAATGTGTTTTTGACATTTCTATCTTGTTCTCCTACTTGTTTTTTTATTTCCTGGAAATTATGTATTTAGAAGCAGAAATTCCCAAGAAAATTTTCTGAGCTTACTAAAGTAATTTGAAATTTAATTGTAGTTTTGAGAAAAAGATTGAATATTTATTTGATTAGTTGAATGCTTCTAAATCTTGTTGTAGTTCACATCATCTACTTAGCTTCGGCAGATTTTGAGTTTTGATATTTGATTTCAGAATTAAGATTGAGAAAAAGCAGAAAGGTGTAAGCTTTGATCCTTATCCAAATCCGTTTCATATCTTATCTTTGCTTTTTTTTTTCTCCTTTTTATCTGCATGTTTATGGTCATTATAGTGTTTGCTTTATGCTTTTCCGTTACATCTAATTCTTTTCTTGTGGAAGCTAAATTGTTTATGTCTTCTTTTCTTGTTTTGAAGGAAAAAGTGGAAATGCAAGGAGATAGGAAAATGGGTGCCGAGAAAACAACCATAAATAGAAGAAAAGCAATCAGAGAAAGAAAGATGGCATTGTTACAAGATGTAAACATTTTTGATTCTTGAATTCTTTAGCTTTACAGTAAAAATCTGTAACTAGTAGTATATAATTTGTACTAATTATGTGTAAATTGTAGGTTGATAAGCTAAAGAAGAAACTCAGGCACGAGGAAAACGTCCACAGAGCTCTCGAAAGGGCGTTTACTAGACCTCTCGGTGCTCTTCCTCGTCTTCCTCCTTATCTCCCTCCAAATGTTAGTATTTCTTGTTCTTCAACGATGTAATTGCGGTGTCTGTTGTTGAATTGTGTGACCCTTTCATCGAATAGCTTACACTATTAGAGAGAGCACATTTTCAATTTTTTGGTTATATTATGTCTCAACATTGTTCGTGTTCCTTATTTCCTTCGTGCAATGTACAATTTAAGATTGAACTGTACTGTCGAAGGAGCTAGTGCCAAAATATTCACTATATGTACTGTAATTGGAAATGCGCAGACACTGGAGCTTCTAGCTGAAGTGGCTGTTTTGGAGGAGGAAGTTGTTCGACTAGAAGAGAAAGTTGTGCATTTCAGGCAAGGATTGTATCAGGAAGCGGTCTATATTTCGTCTTCCAAGAGGAATATGGATAATGTAACTGATACTACTGAACCAAATCAAGTAAAGAGTCCCAAGCAGAAGCAAACGAAGTTGTCACCCCAAATGGAAGCGAATTCAGCTTCATTTTCAGGTAGACAATTGCCTTCTCTCTCAGGTAATCTCTTGGAACTGGAAAATGACGTTCATGTTTGTCAAGGTAACTGAGTGATTTATCCTCGTTAAATTCAATTTTCTTTTCAGATGACAGCTGCTTAAAAGAGAATCAGTCATGGTCTTCCACGAAAAGCAAGCATCGATCACTAAATGCGAAAGTGAAAACTGTCAAAACTCCTGCTAAGAAGCTTCCTTCTGAGAACAGATTAGCAGAGAAGCGCGTAGATCCTCCGAAATTGCAGGTTGATAATTAATGACTTTCATTTTTTTTTCTTCCGGAAATGAGTATCTTGTACAACATAACAGATATTGTACTTTTATAATTTTCAGCTTGAGGACCAAGTAGTGTACCACGGGAGTTTGGAAGAGAGAGTCTTTGTTAATCAAGACAGAAAACCGTCATCAGCTGAAAGTCCAAATACAATCTCAGAAAATATTCTGAAATGCTTGTTAAATATTTTCCTCAGAATGAGCTCTAAGAAGAGCAGGAGTACAACCGATACATTGCCTTCATTGACAGGATATAATTCATGTGAGAAGAAAGAGTTTGGAGATCCTTATGGCATATGTTCAAGGTTTGAAAGGAGAGATATCGGTCCGTATAAGCATTTATATGCAGTTGAAGCTTCTTCAATCAATCCAAATCGAACAACAATATCCGTTTTCCTAGTTCGTAGACTAAAGTAAGTTGGTAAAATTAGCTTACTAAGATTGTATAATCTCAAAATTTTCAATTAGGATGGTTTCTCATATATATCGGTCCTTTTTTCCAGACTTCTACTCGAGAAACTTGCATCAGTCAACTTACAGGGCCTCACCCACCAAGAAAAGCTTGCTTTCTGGATCAACATATATAATTCCTGCATGATGAATGTAAGGTTTACATTCTAACAATTTAATGTATTCTGTGAATAACCTGTCGATAGTAATACGTGATATTGATTTATGAGTATGCTCCCTTTCAAATTTTCTTTTTACTATTTTTCATTCGTCTAACATTTCAGGCATTCCTGGAGTATGGCCTACCTGAGAATCCTGAAATGGTTGTGGCACTGATGCAAAAGGTAATGCTTTGATGTCCTATCCTATCCATGCAATCAACTATACTGTTTTAGTTTTCTAATTCAATTGGTTGACGACGATATGATCCATATTCTTCACTTTTTAATTGGTGAAGTTCCATCTTTTGCAGGCAACAATAAATGTTAGCGGACACTTGCTTAATGCCATAACCATTGAACACTTCATTCTGAGGTTACCTTATCACTCAAAATATGTAAGTGGCTTTCCAAATATAAAGGAAATTACTTTTTGTCCAGCTCATGCCTCTAAAGTATAACTTACAAGTATATCCTATTTGATTGCTCTCACCAGACTTTTGCAAAGGGTGTAAAGAATGACGAGATGACTGCACGCAGCATCTTTGGTTTGGAGTTTTCAGAAACATTGGTGACATTTGCGCTCTCTTGTGGAAGTTTTTCCTCTCCTGCTGTAAGTTATAAGCACCTTGGTTTCTCCAAGTAGTACATGTGAAAAAGTTTAGTCTGACATCCGCTATGTTAGATCATCGTAACAATCCCAATATGTTACATAATTTTCAACTTACAAACAGCACATATGGTTAATATGATAATAGCATGCACTGACCAACCTAAATTTTCACATTTTTCACAAAAATGTCAACTTATTTTTCAGAAAAATGCTAATTTAGGAGCTGTCTTAAATAGGTGAGAGTATACACTGCAGCAAATATTGAAAATGAGCTTCAAGTTGCAAAGAGGGAGTATTTGCAGGCAGCTGTTGGCATTTCAACATCAAAGAAGTTGGTAGCAATACCAAAACTGTTGGATTGGTATCTGCTAGATTTTGCAAAGGATTTGGAGTCTCTACTTGATTGGATATGTCTTCAACTGCCAAACGAACGTGGAAAAGAAGCGATTAGCTGCCTCGAGAGAAGGAATAACGAGCCTCTTTCTCATGTTCTTCAGATTATGCCATATGAATTTAGTTTCCGGTACCTTTTACACATGTAAGTTTTGTTTCATTAATAATGTGTTAGACTTAAGTTTTTTGTGGTATAGATCTATATATAGAGGGGGGATACAGATACATAAGTAAGTTTAAGTGTACATCTTGTAAGTAAATTTTGACATTTGTAAGGAGTAATTATCATTGTAGAGTTCGGCACTATTGCATTCACTGGCTGGGGGGGAGATTCTTGATAGGGCTTTCCTTCTGTTGTCTCATACTCTGATCTTACTTGGAGTGGGGTGATTTTTTTATTTTTATTTTTTATAAATATGGATTTACTTTTTACTTTATTTAATTTTGCTACATGAAAACACATTTCTTGGCTCTATTCTTTCAGACTCGGAGCAACGGTAAAGTTGTCTCCGTGTTACATATAGGTCACGAGTTCGAGCCATGTAATCAGCCATTGATGCTCACCGCAGGGTAGACTGCCGGTAAAGTTGTCTCCGTGTTACATATAGGTCACGAGTTCGAACCATGTAATCAGCCATTGATGCTCACCGCAGGGTAGACTGCCTATATAATATCCCTTAGGATGTGGCCCTTCCCCGGACCCTGCGTAAACACGGAATGCTTCATGTACCGGACTGCCATTTTCCTAACAAAAAATGTAGCCACCAACAAAACATGGACTTATGGCAGCTTTAGAGTTCAGTGTAAACAATCAGAATTGTTTAGTAAATTTTGATTTTATGTCCAACGACTGAAAAGATGGCCAACTGTATATAGTTTAATATTGAAAGGGGCATCAAGCAGATTTGTTCATTAAAGAAGCGTTGGTGTGAATGGAGGCACCCCATTATACAAATTTGTTAAACATTGAATTTTATTGGATTTATTACCAATATTTATTTAAAGAAGATATGCAGCTGGATCTTCCCATAATGCCTAAAAGAGACAAATATGTACACCAAAATCCCAATGCCAATAAATTGTCCTTTTATCACTGTTTCTCCTCAATCCTCATAAAACAATCACCGAAAAAGGTAAATTAATTTTTATAATATGATATATGAGTTAACTTGCGCTCACCTCAATTATTTCATTGGTTATTTACAAGTTTTTATTAGTTTAAGTGCCGAATAACTCGCTCTAACGTTTTTGCTTCGAGGAAGGAATGGTGTGAATATTGAAATGGGACATAGATTTACCCCAAAAGTGTGAAAGAAAATGAGGTTAAATTAAGAAGGAGAAGCAGTGGGATTGGGTCAGTTAGGTGGCATTTTGTGCACCTAGTTATGGATGTAACATGTCAAATGATGCTAGGCTGTTGATAATGTGCAACTATTTATTGGATAGTGACTAGGTCAAAATTTGTTTTATCAATTATTCAACTTTGACTTTATAAACGAATATTCAATATAACTTTCTTAAAATCTGTATTTACCATCCACTTCCTCTTTCTACTTTATTTTTCCTTCTAAATGTCTTAAAAGATTAAATATCCGCGGCATCCCTTGTATAAAGTTATTTGGCTTTCAATTTAGCGTAAAACAGAATATGTATAGGTACACTATATTAATTGCATCATTTAGAGACTTATTGTTGCTTGTTTATACATCATTCTTTACATTATTTAATAGAAAGTGAAGTGAATTGTTGTTAATAAGGAGAATCTTTACTGTATAAGGCCCTTTAATTTTCCAAAAGAAGAGTTATTTTATAAACAATTCAGTTAACATAAGCTAGCTTGCAGTATATAAATATAAAAATTTCCTTCTAAACCCCAGAGACAAAAATCCAATTTTATCAATCTATAGATGCTAGAATACAAATATGCATGTAATTGGATGCCCGTGTCCGATCAATTTTGTTTGCACCTTAATTGTTTCATTAGGAATCTGCCATCTCTTATCAGGATATATATTCGTTAATCTAGCCCTTAAGATATATAAGAAGATGCGAAGAAATCACCTATTATTATTTATCTATTGAAATTCGATTAATGATTCTCATCATTTCATTGACCGCTAAACAAGTATCAAGAACCCTCTCTCCCCAATTTTTATTTTTTTTATTTTTTATTTTTGGGAAAGGGCAAGAGTATGATTGAAAAAATTGTCACCATTTACACACATGCTAGTTCAGAAAAGGACTTCACATTTTCATCCAGAATCAAACTTTGTCTTTAGCTCCATAAAGCCAATGTCCTTAAATACAAATAATGAAAAATCCTAAACTTAATATTAAAGTCTTTTTCATGTGGGCCGGGTCATCAATTACCTCTATTGAAGAAAAGAACAAAATGCCTTTTCCCAAAGTGGATAATTGCAGACATAACAGTTAGATCCACAAAAAAGCTGAACCATTCACAAAACTCTATCCATGTCCAGACAAAATTGGGCCTGGGGCCCGTACATTTAAGGCCCATTAGATTGCACGCTTCATAATTTCTTACAGTAAGTAAATTGTTTGTTTCTTCTTTTCGGCTAGACAAACCCATCTATAATTTCTGTGCAAGTCATAAATATCAACTGCGTTATTGACATACGAAATTATAGATGAAAGAAATAAAAACTTGTTATGAAAATACTTATATTATGGATGTCCATTTATTACTCCGCTATAGATAATCTTCCTGAAAAAGATTATCCGTTTGATACTCTATTGAAGTTTATCTACAAACAACTGATGCAGGAAGGTTGCAAGCAACTCAATGAAATGATTTGCAGTATCTTCTTATTAAGCAGACAGGTTGCAAGCAGCTCATGCAGACAGCTTACAAGCCGCTAAAGAAAAGCTTTGCAGCTGTTTTCTGAAGAGCCTTGCAGCTGCTTCCTTTCTTCTATAAATAGAGGAGTTTTCACTTCATTATGTACATCAGTTGAAATTGAATAATATATCAGTTTCTCTCTATACTTGTCTTTACTTTACAGTCTTTATTTTATAACACGTTATCAGCACGATACTCTGCCATCTCGAGCAAATACTTTGAAAGTATCATAAGTACGAATATTTTTTTTAAATAATGTCAAATCTTTCTAAACTTGAATTTATAGCTCTGGATATATCGGGCAAAAGCTACATGTCTTGAGTGTTTGATGCTGAAATTCATCTTGATGCAATAGGTCTGGCAGACACCATCAAGGACAAAAATCAAGCATCAAATCAAGATTGTGCCAAAGCAATGATATTCCTACGCCATCACCTTGATGAAGACTTGAAAATAGAATATCTCACTATTAAGATCCATACATAATGTGGAATAATTTGAAAGATAGATGTGACCACCTGAAGATGGTCGTTCTTCCACATGTACGATATAATTGGACTCATTTAAGGCTACAAGATTTTAAATCTATCGGTGAGTATAATTCTGTTATGTTCAGAATTATTTCCTAATTGAAATTATGTAGTGATAATATTACTGATCATGATATGTTGGAGAAAACTTTCACCACTTTTCATGCCTCGAATATACTCCTGCAGCAACAATATCGAGAGATGTGATTCAAAAAGTATTCTGAACTTATCTCGCATCTTCTTGTAGCTGAGCAACATAATGGGCTATTAATGAAAAATCATGAAAGCTTACCTATTGGTTCTTGTCAATTCCCTGAAGCGAATGAGATAAACTTTCACCAAGCTAAGCGTGAAAGAGGTCGTGGCCCCAGTCGTGGTCGTGGACGTGGTCGGGGAAGAAACTCTAATCATGGTAATAATAATTCACCAAAGAACCCTCTTCACCACCAGCAGTGAAAAAGGAAGGAACAAAAGCATGAAGCGGTGCAAGCAACAAATACAGAAAATACATGCTATAGATGTGGAGGAAAAAGGCACTGGTCATGTACCTGTCGTATGCCAAAGCACCTGGTTGAAGTTTATCAAGCATCCCTAAAGAAGGCAGAGAAAAATGCTGAAGCAAATTTTATTTCTGAAGATAATTTAGACTTCATGCATTTGGATGTAGATGATTACTTTGCACTCCTAGAAGGAGAAACAAGTCATGTGATCGGTGATGAATCTGTAAAAATGTAAATATTTTAATTTTTATTGTTTGTAGTAGATTACTGGTTATGTAATTATTGTACATAAATAAAAGTTATGCTTTGATAGTGATGTTTACAATCATATTTGTTTTGTTTATGTCATTTTGAAGAATATGAATAATCCTCAAATTATGTTTGGATCAAAGACCAATCATGAAGATATTTGTGTAATTGATAGTGGAACAACTCATGCCATACTGATTAGAAATACTTTTCTTATTTGCATAAGGAAAAAAGCAAATATTTCAATAATTTCTGGTAATATAAGTTTGATTAAAGGCTCCGGAAGAGCCACTATATTTCTGTCTAAGGGAACAAAACTTATTATAGACAATGCATTATTCTCCTCTAAGTCCTGAAGAAACTTGTTGAGTTTTATAGATATCCACCGAAATGGGTATCATGTTGAGACGATAGATGAAATGAATATGAAATATCTTTGTATAACAAAGAATGTTCCTGGCAAGAAATGCATTGTAGAAAAATTACCAGCTTTATCTTCTGGCTTATACTATTCAAAAATTATTACAGTTGAAGCACACAATATCGTAAACTAGAAGTTTACTGATTCTAAATATTTTTGTGCATTGGCATGGCCGTCTGGGCCATCCTGAATCAATAATGATGAGACGAATTACTGAAAATTCGACTGGGCATCCATTAAAGAACTTGAAGATTATTACAAAGAATGAATTTTCTTGTGATGCTTGTTATCAAGGCAAAATGATCACTAGACCATCACCAATGAAGGTTGGCATTGAATCCCCTGCCTTTTTAGGACGTATACATAGGGGTATATGTTGACCTATTCACCCACCAAGTGGAATATTTAGATATTTTATGGTTCTAATAGATGCATCTTCAAGATGGTCTCATGTGTGCCTACTATCATCTAGCAACCTGGCGTTTGCAAAGCTATTAGCCCAAATAATTTGATTAAGGACATAATTCCCAGATTATCCTATAAAGTTTATTCGCCCTCATAATGTTGGAGAATTCGCATCTCAAGATTTTGATAATTATTGTCTATCAGTTGGGATAAAAGTTGAACATCATGTAGCTTATGTTCATACTCAAAATGGCCTTGCAGAGTCATTTATTAAACGCCTCCAATTGATAACAAGACCACTACTTATGAAAATAAAATTGTCCACTACTGTTTGGGGCCATGCAATCTTGCATGCAACATCACATATCTGTCTCAGACCGACACATTATAATAAATATTCTCCATCACAATTAGTTTTTGGTCATAAACCAAATATTGTCCATCTACGAATTTTTGGATGTGTTGTATATGT